GCGGCGAGGCGAGACGGGACGAGACGAAACGACCGCGACGGGAGCAAGCACAAGGTGCCATTTAACCGAGGCACGTGCGGTCTGCGCACTTGGCACCCGACCAACGCGCCTCAGAATGAGACCAAACGTCCGGAGGTGACGTCATCGGGTGAATCGCACCGCGAGAAGAGAAGAACGAGGGGTGGCCCCCCGACCAGACCAGCCGCGTTGTTCCGCGGAACAGTAAACGGTAACGAACGCGATCGACCACGGGGGAGCAACAGGTTCGGTATCGGTGGCCCGCCCGAACCCATTCCCGTAACCGAAACCCTCGATTCTTCTTCGCGGTCGACGCGGTTCGACCGTTTCGACCGTCTATTGTCGGCCTTTTACGCGAAAGTACCTAGAATGGAACGCCCAGCTCGGTCGCGACCCTTTCTTGGAACAGTTGCGCGTAAATTCTGCCTAATTTTTTCCCGAGCGCTTCTAAACGAAAATGGACGATTTTTTGATTAGGTGATAATTGGAAACTATGAAAATGAGGAGCCGCGAGGAACGAATAATTCGCGTCTTCTCTTGGCAAATCTTTGTTTGGATGCTGAGAGAAAATTGGGGAGAATTGACTGTGATACAGAATGAAAAAATAATCTAAAAATTGTAGCCATATTTTGGAACACTTCTCTTCGTAAATTCGATCGCGCGAATAAGTGTTCCGCAACGAGCAACCGTGAAGAAACATGTTTTAAGGTAGAAGTACCCATTATGGAACACCGCACGATTGCTACCCCTTTTTTGCTATCCCGGCCATATTTTTTTCATTCACCCGATTCGTCGATCTATCCGACAAGTAGTCTAAATATTCAACGATAACGCACTTTTTAATTGTTACAAAATCGTCCATAAAAGGTACTCTAAAAAGCGTTCCATAATAGGTACTCTCTCTCTCTCTATGCAACTATAATTCCTAAATTTCGGGAGCCAACTTCTGAGATCCTGACGACCAAATTTAGGCCCATTTTAACCGGACAGAAGGATAGTATACTTCGACAATCTCCGTTAAAGTACACATTGTTTAATCGTAGTTTAGTTTAATTAGTATTTCAGCGGAAACCGAAGAAAATCAAGCGTGTAATAATCACGGACAACTTGCACACTTTACAAAGAGATTGCAACCGGTCAATCTCCGATAGTTAATCGATAGCTCGCAGAAATCTGAGGTACCAGTGAACAGGGGAGGGGGGCCGTTCTCCTCCGATCGTCGTTCATTTTCGGGAGAAAAAACGTTCGTCGCGAAAAAGACAAACGGCGGACACTCTCGGTCCGGGTGTCGGAGGGGGCCGCGTCTTTAAAACAGGCGGGAAAAGGTGCGCGCGAGAAAGGGTACAAGACCGATCACTATAACAGTTTCAAGGTGGTCGAGCGGACTGGTTGCGGAGGAGCGAATTGATCCTCGTTCACCCTTCGCGCGCGCCGCAAAGTTACCCTGAAAATAACTCTCTCGCAGATTACGCGAGGTGAAACGAGGATGAAACACGCGTGTAAAGGAGGCTAGTGAAAGTGCCGAGCTAATCCAACGTGTAAACTACTCTTGGCCTTTAGAGTCGCGTCGTGCCGCGCCGAGCCGAGCCGAGCGGGCTCGAGCATAGTCGGGGAGCCGATTCCCCCTCGTTTTCGAATAATTCGAGAGACCGATTCGAATAAGTACAGTGATTTCTCTCGAATTCGAGTTTTGAGACTTGTTTTTGTAGTTGTCGATTGTTGGCAATTAGGAAAACGAGACGCGAGCATCGAATAATTGGGTTTCCTTTTGCAATGTGCTCCATGTTTCTGCGCAATCTCGCCGCGAATTGGGGAGAAATTACTTATAATGTCAATATAAAATATATAATATCGAATATATATTATATATAATATATATAAAATATGTAATAATATTGAATAATATTCCCTTCCCAAATTATCCATTTTTGTGCGCAATCTCGGCGCGAATTAGGGAGAAATTACTTATAATATAAATATAAGATATATAATATCGAATATATATTATATATAACATATATAAAATATGTAATAATATTGAATAATATTCCATAATATTCCCTTCCCAAATTATCCATTTTTGTGCGTAATCTCGCCGCGAATTAGGGAGAAATTTGGGAAGGGGATATTATTCAATATTATTATATATTTTATATATATTATAATATATTATATATATTCGATATTATTACATATTTTAAAATATATAGTAATATTGGATATATATAATATAATATAATATATTATAATATATATATTCGATATTATCACGTTTTAAAATATATAGTAATATTGGATATATATAATATAATATATATAATATATTATAATATATATATTCGATATTATCACATATTTTAAAATATATAATAATATTGGATATATATAATATAATATAATATATTATAACATATAAAATAATATCGAATATATATAATATATTATAATATACATATAATAATATCAAATATATATAATATATATATATATATAAAAAAATATACATAATATTAAATAAAATATCCCCTTCCCAAATTGTCCATTCTTAGCGCGCAATCAGCGCATCGGGGCGAATTAGGAAGAAATTATCGTAATCCCGAGGGGATGTTTTCCCCGAATTTCTCGAGAATGTCGACGAGATGGAATTCGAGAGCACGGGATGATCTCGCGCGTCGGCGTTGCACAGCGTCGGGCGGCCATTGTTAACAGGGCTCTTGGACCGGAGCTAGGCGCGTGTCGTAGCGCATCAGCAATTTGGATCGTGATCAAGGTGACCGTCGGAGGCCAGAGAAACGAATGCGACGCGGTCATTCTTCGGCGATCCACATACTCGGCCGGTGGGGATCGTCCGTTTCGAAGGATCTCGGCTGGTTTCATTTATTTATCCGCGGCCGAGAATCCGCGCCCTTTGATTTGCAAGCAGGCTCGCTTATAAATAAATATAATATAATAATAAATATATAATACAATAATAAATATAATATAATAAATATATAATACAATAATAAATATAATATAATAAATATATATAATATAAAAAAAAGAAATCGAAGCCGTGGAAAAGAAGCTAATGGAAAGCAAGCAACGACCGCCTATAGATCCTCCTCGCTCGTTCGCCATTGATCTAGGCACATCGATCGAGCAACCGTGCGACATAATCGATCGCGTCACGTGATCTGGTCCGAACCAGTCGGTTACACATCGGCATGACTAACCGCGTGACGCGATCATCGTGTTCTTGGCACTGCGCTCGTTCGAACCTTGACGAACCTAACCGCGCTTTTCGCGAGCAGATCCGTCGGCTAGATCTCGAGATCCGTCGATCGATCCGCGCCCCTGCGTCGTCCCCGACGCGAATCGGGCATCGAACAGGGGGAACGAGAAAAATAAGGCGGGAAAATGGGACGAGGGCGAGAACGAGTTTACCGAATCGCGGATCTACGATCTAGGATTTAGAATCGCGGATCTAGAGTCTAGGATTTAGAATCTAGGATCTAGAATCTAGAATCTAGGATCTAGAATCTAGAATCTAGAATCTAGGATCTAGGATCTAGAATCTAGAATCTAGGATCTAGAATCTAGGATCTAGAATCTAGAATCTAGGATCTAGAATCTAGAATCTAGAATCTAGGATCTAGGATCTAGAATCTAGAATCTAGGATCTAGAATCTAGGATCTAGAATCTAGGATCTAGGATCTAGAATCTAGAATCTAGGATCTAGAATCTAGGATCTAGAATCTAGAATCTAGGATCTAGAATCTAGGATATAGGATCTAGAATCTAGGATCTAGGATCTAGAATCTAGAATCTAGGATCTAGGATCTAGAATCTAGGATCTAGAATCGCGGATCTAGGATCTAGGATGAGTCTCGCGGCTCATTTCCATATATTGCCAATTGTCAACAATTATAAAAACGAGGTGCAATATAATTATTACATAATATATTATATAATATATAAGTAATATAGTTATTATATAATTATATAAATATTATTGTAATATTTATATAGTTATTATATAATTATATAAATATTATTGTAATATTTATATAGTTATTATATAATTATATAAATATTATTGTAATATTTCTGTAAGTATTATATAATTATATAAATATTATTGTAATATTTCTCTCTAATTCGCGTATTATATAATTAATACAATTATTATACAATTACGAATATTACAATATTTCAATCGGGGAAGAGAAGATACGATTATGCGAGCCTGAAACGACTCCTGTCCCCAAACAGTCCATTTTTGTGCACAATTCTTTTTCACGAATTAGCGAGAAATTACTGTATAAAACATCGACTAGTACCCTCTTCCCAAATTATCTATTGTTGCATGCAATCCGAAGGAAAATTCAGCAGAATTTACCCTAACAATATCCAAATTCCAATTGGAAAACTGAGTCCGAAACCACGATCGTCGAGCATTCGAATAAACGCGAACACACTCAACAAATACAAAGTCTCGTTTCCTGCGCGAAAACGAATAGCGAAACTTCTGATCACAGTAATCGTAAAGAAACCGGCGACGGAGGCGGTGGCAAGGGGTTGAAAGGCGTCGGAATGCTTTCGTGTCTCGCGGTGATTCGCGGCGGGCCTGAGAAGCCCCGTGGCAGAAAATTAGCCCCTTCGGGAGAAGGAGGAGATCGATCTGTGCCGTCGAAACGGAAGATCCACGTGCGAGCGTGATCCGTGCCTAGCCGGACGGAAGCTAAGGGTGACACGCGTGGAACGATCGAGAGCCGCGTAGGCAGAGCTCGCGTGGGAAGAAGCTGGCGAAGGAGCCTCGCGAATCCCCGGTCGAAAGGGTTGCGCGTGGTGCGCGGGTTGACGCGACGAAAGCGACGAAATTCGGGCGAATTCGGCGAAAACCGAGGAAACCGAGAAATCGGCGCAAACCGAGGAAACCGAGAAAATGGCGAAGACCGAGAAAACTGGGAAAATGACGTAGACCGAGAAAACTGAGAAAATGGCGAAAAAAACCGAGGAAACCGAGAAAATTGCGAAAACCGAGGAAACTGAGAAAATGGCGAAAAAAACCGAGGAAACCGAGAAAATGGCGAAAACCGAGGAAACTGAGAAAATGGCGAAAACTGAGAAAACTGAGAAATCGGCGAAGATCGAGAAAACTGAGAAAATGGCGAAAAAACCGAGGAAACCGAGAAAATGGCGAAAACAGAGAAGACAGAAGGCCGATAAAGCCGCTAAAGCGGACGAAGCCGATAAACCTGGCAAAGCGGGTAAAGCGGAGGAAGAAGCAGCGTCGCCGGGCAAAGCCGCTACTAAAGCGTAGGAAGCGGATAAAGCGAGCGAGGCGAGCGGAATGAGCGAAGCGTACGAAGCGTGCGAGGCGAGGCGAGGCGAGCGATGAAGAAGCGGCGCGTACGGGTCGGGACGGTGTGTTCGCGATCCGTGAAAAGATCCCAAAAATAATGTCGGCCGGTGAAGAAATAAATCCGCGCCGGGCGAGGCGGGTGCCTAAAAGAAGAAGAAGGTTCTCGTCAGGGAACGGGTGCGTTCTGGGAACGAAACCGGCGGCATAGTATGCGAGTTATAAGAAGAGCGGTGAAGCGATCGCATCGGCTAGTCGTGTTAAGAGTTTTGTCCGCGGCGAGCCACCAAGAGGAAACACATCGCCCGAGCGAAGAGGAAGCCGAGGAGAGCACACGCTGGGACGAGATTCGGCATAGTGAGGAAATAACGCGGAGGGTGAGGGAGATGGAGGATCGGAGAGGCGGGGAATGGTGGAGGGATGCGGGGGAAAGTGGAGGGAAGCGGAGGAAAGCGGAGGAAAAGCTGAGGAAAAACGGAGGAAAAGCAGAGAAAAAGCGGAGGAAAAGCAGAGAAAAAGCAGAGGAAAAGCTGAGATAAAGCAGAGAGGAGTGGAGAGACAAAACTAGAGGGAGAGAGACGGAGAAATAAGAGAGAGAGAGAGAGAAACTGGGAAATAGAGAGAGAGAGAGGGAGCGCGAGAGAGACAGAGAAATATATATAGAGAGAAAATTAAAGAGAGCGGAGAAAGCGAGAGAGACGGAGAAAATAGAAAGAGAGCGCGAGAAAGATGGAGAAATAGAGACAAAGAGCGTGAGAGAGGCGGAGAAATAGGGAAAGAGAGAAAAAAATAGAGAAAAATAGAGACAAGAAAATGAAGAAAAATAGAGAAAAATAGAGAAAAATAGAGAAAAATAGAGATAGAAAAATAAAGAAAAATAGAGGCAGAAAAATCGAGAAAAATAGAGGCAGAAAAGTCGAGAAAAATAGAGGCAGAAAGAGAGAATCAGAAAGACAGAGAGAAACAGAGAAACCTGGAAAGAAATAAAGAGAGAACTAAATAACGAAAAATACATATAGAGAGAAGCAGAGATCGAGGCTTAAAGAAAAATCGCATAAGTGCAAGATCGCAGAAGCAGGGGCCGCGAAAATTCGGCGATAAATCGAGGGAGAAAAGCAGAGAGAGAGAAAGAGAAGACAGAAAGAGAAAGAGAGAGAGAGAGATCGGATCCCAAGGGGGCCCTCAATTTCTCTCGCCGCAGAGAAATCGGCTCGTAGGCCCGGCCCGGTCCGGCCCGGTCCGCGATAGAATCCCGGAGCTTGCGAGAGAGCTTGCGATAAGTTCGAGCGAGGGTTCGGCGGGCAGCTCGCGGCGCGACAGAGGAGACGACGAGACGAGAAGAGACGAGACGAAACGCGCGCGCGATAGAAGATCGGCCAGCTAAGCAGCCAGCGGGAGAGCAGGACTTACCTCTGCTGTTTTTAGAACTCCACTCCCAGAACTGCGCGGGTCGAGCCGAGCCAAAACCAAAATACCGGCGATACAGCGTTTCTGCGATGGTCTTTGTGCGCCGCCGACCAACCAGCACCTTCCTTGGCAACGTCCAACCGGCTTGCACCGGAGGAAACGCTGCTGCTCGCCGTTAACCAACCTAGCTTTACCGACCCCGAACGAGAGCGGCACCGCGAGCGAGAGCGACGTCGGGCCCAGGAACGGAGCCAGGACCGGAGTCAGGAGCGATGTCGGGACCGAAATTGGGACCGAGATCTCTGGACTCGGATCGAGAGCAGCGGCGAGGAGCTTTGGACCCGGAGAACCCAGGACCAGGATTTTACGACCAGGATAAAGCGATCATGATTTTTCGAAATAGTGCCGTGCCGTGAACATTCGCAGACAGGGAGCTAAATGATGCTCCTCTTTGCTCTCTCCCTCCCTCTCCCTCTCTCTCTCTCTCTCTGTCTGCCTTCTCCTCCTTCGAAGACAGTGACGGTGGTGTGCAACGTGTAGACGACTCTATGACCCTCTGTTCTCTCTCTCTCTCTCTCGCTCTCTCTATCTCTCTTTTCTCTCTATCTCTCTTTTCTCTCTATCTCTCTTTTCTCTCTATCTCTCTTTTCTCTCCGCTGTCCCTAAGATCGGGTCGCTCCCGAGAGCGATTTCCCCGGGACCGGGAAATCGCAGCAGTGATATCCGCGCGATGACGAACCCTGGCAGATGTTTTAACCCTGCGCTCTGCCGCGCCGAGAGAGTCCAAATGGTCCCGCATTTGTCTCACGAAAAAAAAGAGTGATATTGTCGCGGGAACAACGAAACGAACGAACGATCTAACGGATTAATGTACTTGGAAGTGGGACGCCGGGGGTGGTTCTGACGGAGGAAAGACGACGGGGTCGAGTCGACGACGTTCACACGGAAGAAGGGTCTTTTTACCGGAAAGAAACCGGGCGAAACGAGTACCATACGTCTATTCGGAAGTTTCGATTTTAGTTTCGTCGACGTTCGGACACGATTCCATCGTCGACTAAAGTGCTTTCTAACGAACGTTGCTCTGTCCTCGAGTGAAGTTTTTTTTAACTCTTTCGGCGGATTATTTTTAGCCGTGGACGCGCGCACGCTGTGTGCGTATTTTTTTTGAAAAATTTAGTTCCTTTTCGTTTCGTTTTGTAGACGGAAAATATGTAATTCGAGTCTCTGTGGAGTAATGAACGTCCTAATTGTACGCTTGTCGTTAAATATCGAAAGTCGGTCTTGCGAATATTGAAAGAATGTTCAAAGAATATTGAAAGAATATTGAAAGAATATTCAAAGAATATTCAAAGAATATTAGAAAGCGGTTTTGCTCAAATATTCGCCGATTTTCTCCCGTTAGCCGTGAATCGTATTTTGTGATCCGCGAACAATGTGCGAGAAACGATTCGTCGAGAATGATTTACCGGGAGGTGGCTGTACAGCCCTATGATTCACCCTTTTCCAGAAACGTCGTCGATCGTCGCGAGAGGAACGCGACGAGAAACGAATTCGATACAGTCGGAAGTGAGACATCGAGTTCTAATGAAGCGAACGATTCTTTAGAACGATGAAATTATTTTTTGGAATTGTCGGCGCTCGACGAGTATCGCTGGTTTTCTCGAGTGACGGTTGTCGAGGAACCGAACGGGGTCCGAGTGACAGCGAAATATGTGACGGGAGGGTTCAACTACCACCCTGAATTCTCGGATCTCTGGATCTCTGGATCTCTGGATCTCTGAAACGCCGAAACAGCGCTCGCTGCGACAGCGGTTTCTCGATCTTTCCATCGCTTTTGGTGATCAGTGTCGTGAATCCATCCGATAGAACTCGCGAGTCCCGGTAGCTAGTGACACACGGTGATGTTTTGGGGGTGCGCCGGGGTACCGTAGAATTTTATCCAACGTAATCGCCACGATTTTAGCGAGCAGGGTGGATTTTATCGAAACATCTGGCTCGAAGATATTACAGCATCTCGAAATTTTCGGTAAAAATTGGCCAACTTCGACCGACGATAACTCCGCGAGAAATCATCGTAGGACGATGAGTTTTTTCTTAAATTAAAGCTCGAAACCTCTACTTTTAGACAATCTTCCTGGATTTTAAGTCTGCCGCATCCTCGTCACCGTGATCCTTTAAATGCGAGAGCACGTTTATCGCATCAAATATTGTCAAGTTCGACGAAACGCACGAACTTCGTACAATTTTTCTCGGGCATGCCGCTCGCAGTGGAACGAAGTTCGATCCTTTCCATTTAATTTAAAAAAAGCGGCACCCGGCTGCGATTTTTTGTCGCGGAGTTGCAGCATTTCAAAGCGACCCTTGCATTTTTCTGGAAATCTCCGCGAGAAAAATGCAAGGGTCGCTTCGAAGTGCTGTAACTTCGCGAAGAAAAATCGTAGCCGTGTTTCTTTTTTTTCAAATCGAAGAGGAAGAATCGAATTTTATTCGACGCTGAACGTTTCTGAATTTGAAGAACAACGCACCCTCGCCGCTGTAACCGTTTAAATCTGCGACCATGTTTGTCGAGTAAAAAACTGCCGAGTTCGAAGAAACGCACGGACTTTGTAAAATTTTTCTCGGTGACGCCGTTCAGCGTCGAATAAAATTCGATTCTTCCCCTTCGATTTAAAAAGAAAGAAACGAGGCTACGATTTTTCTTCGCGAAGTTACATCGCTTCGAAGCAACCCTTGCACTTCTGTCCATTTTCGCGGAGTTATCGAGAAAAATGCAAGGGTCGCTTCGAAGTGCTGCAACTCCGCGAAAAAAAATCGCAGCCGGGTCCCACTTTTTTTAAATTAAAGGGAAAGGATCGAACTTCGTTCCACTGCGAGCAGCATGCCCGAGAAAAATTGTACGAAGTCCGTGCGTTTCGTCGAACTTGACGATCTTCGATGCGACGAACGTGGCTATTTTCACTGCGACATGGCCTCGCGTTTAAATCGCTACAGCGACGAGGGTGCGTCGAACTTAAAATCGAGAAACTCCGTTTCAAAGCAAAGGTTTCGAACTTTAATTAAAAAAAAAAATTGCAATCCTGCGACGATTTCTCGCGGAGTTATCGCCGGTGGAAGTTGGCCGATCTTCGCCAAGAATTTGTCTCCGCGAGAATTTCTTCGAGCAGCCCGAGTCTCGTTTCCGAGAGTTCGCGACGGCCGCGTGGAAGACGCCGGGATGTGCGCCGGCTTCCCGATCAATTCTTTCGGCCGGCGTGTCTCCCGATAATTTCGACTTTTCCGGCGTTCCCGACGAGTTTAGCGTTCGCGGCGTCCTGCATCGATCGCGCGCGATCTCGCAGCCCCGGCCTGCGACACAGAAATTCCGAGCCGCGCGACCCGGCCAGAGAGACGGGAGAACAGAAATCTCCGGTTGATTCGCTTCGGTATTATTTACGATGCATCGATCGCGGAGAGGAACTTACCTTTTTATCGCATGTAGGAGCCAATGTAGAGGGTCGGAGCTGCATACGCGACGGTGGTCCTTCAAAAGAAAATAAAAAGAGACTTTCAGCAGT